CTGACCATTATACACAAATGCACAACAGTCTGACCTTTACACAATAGCACAACAGTCTGACCATTACACACAAGCGCACAACAGTCTGACCGTTACACACAACAGTCTGACCATTACACAAAAACGCACAACAGTGTGATGTTACACTATCACACAACAGTCTAACTGTTACACACAAATGCACAATAGTCTGATCATTACACACAAACACACAACAGTCTGACCTTTATACACAAACACACAACAGTCTAACTGTTACACACAAATGCACAATAGTCTGATCATTACACACAAACACACAACAGTCTGACCTTTATACAATGGCACAACAGTCTAACCATTACACACAAACACACAACAGTCTGACCTTTATACAATGGCACAACAGTCTAACCATTACACACAAACACACAACAGTCTGACCTTTATACAATGGCACAACAGTCTAACCATTACACACAAACACACAACAGTCTGACCTTTATACAATGGCACAACAGTCTAACCATTACACACAAACACACAACAGTCTGACCTTTATACAATGGCACAACAGTCTAACCATTACACACAAACACACAACAGTCTGACCTTTATACAATGGCACAACAGTCTAACCATTACACACAAACACACAACAGTCTGACCTTTATACAATGGCACAACAGTCTAACCATTACACACAAACACACAACAGTCTGACCTTTATACAATGGCACAACAGTCTAACCATTACACACAAACACACAACAGTCTGACCGTTACACACAAACACACAACAGTCTGACCGTTACACACAAACACACAACAGTCTGACCGTTACACACAAACACACAACAGTCTAACTGTTACACACAAATGCACAATAGTCTGATCATTACACACAAACACACAACAGTCTGACCTTTATACAATGGCACAACAGTCTAACCATTACACACAAATGCACAACAGTCTGACCGTTACACACAAATGCACAACAGTCTGACCGTTACAAATGCACAACAGTCTAACCGTTTCACACAAATGCACAACAGTCTGACCGTTACACACAAATGCACAACAGTCTGACCGTTACAAATGCACAACAGTCTAACCGTTTCACACAAATGCACAACAGTCTGACCGTTACACACAAATGCACAACAGTCTGATCGTCACACGCAATCGCACAACAGTCTGACCATTACACACAAAGTGCTCTAACTTAGTGATTGTTATCGGGATGTGAAGAGAACCAGCATAACAACCAGCAATATCTAAGAACAAGAGGCAGGTTTTGATTTATAGCTTTATAAGTTGGTTTCATTGGCTTTATAGAAACAATAAAGCAGCTCTGTGTCTTTTTGTATATAATCAAGATAATCTTAATTTATTAGTTGCAGAAGCAAGTCTAACAAAACAAACATGAATATTTCAGCACGCTGCATATGAAATGTGTGGTAAGGTTTGATGTGAAGCGAGTACATTTGTAGAGGTTAATCTCAGTCTCTCTGAGCGTCTGGGCTCCCAGTGTCTTCTGTCGTTAATTATTACGCGTCGGGTCGGTCTCACCCCCGCCATCGCTCTAGTGTTCAGCTTTAAAATCAAATTAGCTAAGAAAGAGACCACTCCAATCTCATCCTTCCCCATGGCCCGAGCGCCCGCGGCAATAAACAGTCAGATTTTCAGCTTTCATTACTGCGTGTGGATGTAAACAGGCTCCTGAATGTCCAAAATGAGCCGCATCTTTTCTGGACATAGCAGTTTCTTTCATTTAACTGATCGCAGTGCTGCTCGTCTTGTCATGAATGTGATCCAGTAGATCATCCGTTCGACTCTCAGAGTTCTGCTCCAGAACTCGAGTAACATTTACACTGCAAAACATTTTCTTCCTCAGTATGTTTGTCTTGTTTTCCAGTACAAATGTTGAAACATTCTCAAATCAAGATAGAATTACTTCAGAAGCAAAATGACGTTAGATAAGTCTTGTTTTCTGAAAAGAAAGAAGCTTAAAACAAGAAAAAAATGTCTGCCAATGGGGTCTGAAAAATCAACTGTTCCTTCTTTAAACAATAAAGTCACTTAATTTTGATCATTTTTTTCGGAAATCGAGACTTACTATCTTAATTTTGCTTCTCAAGAAAATGTAATTTGATTTAAGGAAGTTTAGATATTTGTACCGCAAAACAAGACAAAAATACTTTGGAAGAAAATCATCTTTTGCAGTGCATTTAGACTTATAGCTGAGAATCATGAACAATATGGGATGTAATGCATTTAATTACAGAGAGGGATTACTCTTAGTTTTTCTGTAATTTTAATTACTGTTACTTCTCATGTAATTGCATCAACTATAAAACAAATTCTTTACAAGTCAATAGTGATTGAACATCAAAATTTAACATCTAATGCTATAAAATCGATGTTTTAATGTAACCTTTAAAAACTTTAAATACTTTATTACAGATATTTATTTGAAATAATTAAAAGAGCCATTTCATGTCTCTCCTTGTGTTGTTCAACTGGTCGAGGTTGATATGGGATGCAATATTTTAGAGAGAGTAATCTAATTACTGTCGAAGATGTGATTAGTACCTAGTAATTAATTACTTGTTTAGAGTATCTTACCCAACACTGATCATGAATTCAGTGAAGGAGAGGAAGAGCTTTCAGAGATGTTTTTAATGTACTATTGTTTTGTTGCTGTGTTTGCTGCTTGCATTTCCATTTTCCCAAAAATGTCGTATAAGCACAAAAGTGTGTATTCTTACTCTGTTTGAGTTGATGCAGGTGTTCTGTGCTAGTTCAGGATTAGTGATTTAATTCTATGCATCAGGTTTATTTCTCACTATTAATGACATTTAATTTGCCAGTTAAAGTACAATGCGTCTCTTGGAGTTTGTCTGGCTTAAATTGCGCCTCGTGATGGATTTGCAACAGACAGACGTAAGTGTCATTTGTTGCAGTTTAAGAAAAAAAAAAAGGAGTGAACCATGAATAAAGCTGCAGTCATTACTCTAGTTACTGATGGTGCTCACGGTGGCACTTGCTCACTCCAGACAATCATCGTGAAACAAGTGCGCTGCGCTGAGGATGTGAGATATTACTTTGTACACATGAGTCATGATGCTATTCTGATGTTGGTCTCGCAGGAGGCCAAGTTTGACCAATCACAGACTGGAACCATGATTTTTTATCTATAACGAGAGTTGTCACGAAAACACAGACTGGTTGATGTGTTGTGTACATGTTCACAGATTGTTTCTGCGGATTGAAAGTTTGAGAAGGTTTGTCATACAGATCTCCTTGCTTGTTTCCATCAGCTTCCTTCAAGTGCAATTTAGAGAAGATACTAGAGGATAATCATCAGGATTCAAGGTTCCTCTCAGAACGTTCGATTCTGCCCTCTCTGGGAACAGATTGCTCTGAATTTCCTTGTGTATCGTAAGATATTCCAACAAATTTAATAAAAGCAGGAAATATTGTTGTGCCCGGTGGCACATTAACACATCGGCTCATATAATTCACAAACCAGCAGTGTCAGTTACTGAATTATCAGACTCCATTTGGCGCCCTTGACAGATCGTTCCTCTAAACGGCTGGTCGACTCCGGCGGCTTTTTCTAGCAATGATATAAAAGATTTGACAGCGGTGAACGGGCATTAAATTTATACTGATCTTCTTGGTGAACCTTTCCCCAGACTCTCAACCCGCAGACGCACGGCTCTACATTGGGGCTGTTGGGTGGGATGGACTCTGTGAAAGATGCCATTAACATACTGTTTCCTTTTCAGCTTCTAACAGATGTATGTGTGTTCTGAATGTTAATATCACCTTTTCTCCTGGTGGACTCTCTCAGTTTCTTTGAGCTTAATGACTCTGTTCATCAATATGCAAACAGGAAACTCTTTTTGAAGGTTCTTCTAGTTAAGGGGAGGGTGCCATGTTGGTGCCATGGTTTGAGGAGGTTTCCCAAAGCGCACAGATCACAGTCCTTCCCCCCCCCCCCAAGCAATGTTTGTCACACTAATTTGCCTCATCATGTGAATAACAATGATGTGCATTATGTGTTTAAACAGAACAATCTCTTCTGCACCCCATTTTCCTAGATTCATGCTCCATTTCAGGTGTTGATGCCACAGATGAAACTGTTTCACGATTCTGAGCTTAATCCTAATGAATACTTTACATCTTGTATAATTTTAACTTTTGACATTCTTTGACATTCAGTTCCGAAGAAAAACAGGCTTTTGTTATTCATGGTATGAGATTTCAAGGGACAGACTTATGGATAATTATCTTGAAAGATTTGGTCTGTGTTTTGGGGGGGAAAGTCTTATGGGACAGTAATTTGAAAATATCACCTTCGGTACCCCGGGGTGAGAGTGGGAAGTTTTGCATATAGATCCTCATCATTAGCGAGCTATCACCATGCCAACGGGGAGCGGGGATTATGAGCTTTATGAGCTCTGGGAAAACGTTCACTGAATGATGAATTCAAAACACTTTACCTACTTTGAAACATGGGCTGAAATTTGTTTATCACTATCCCAGAACAATCTTACACAGCTTTCTTTTTGTAATTTTTTTTTCATGCAAAAATCATGCGGCCAATTTGTTAATGTAAGTGACCTGTACTACGTGGTTTGCTCTCTTCTTAAACATGCAGTCAGTGAGTGGAGGTTAGCACAGCTAGCATTAGCACAGACGTAGAACTGTTTTTGTAGGATTGATCTGAATGTACATTCTAGCTTATGCACTGGATAATTGGTTAGCACATACTTAACTTTAAATGTTTCTCTGTATTATTCTAACCCTGTAATGTATACGACTAATTCTTTAGCATTAGCCTAGCTGTTTATAGTCTGATTTTAAACAGATGCTAACGAAACTAACTTTAGAACTAACCTCATTAAGTCTTAGTGCTAACCATTCTAATGATGGCTCTTCTCTCTCTCTTGTGCACTCATTTGCTCAGGTTCCAACTAACACCGTGTTCCTTCTCTCTTTCATCCTAGGAGGTGAACTAGTGTTGCCAATTATAACTGTGGATTCCCTTGAGCCCCCATCAATTGTGACACTTTACCCCGTTATTCCCCCGCCCCCAACCTATCGCCCCTTCCTCACCTTGCTCGAGACCACCAAAGAGTCTCTCCCCTTGCCCGGTCGGCCCCCCTGTCCGCTGGACCAGGAGGACTGTGAAGAGCCCATAGAGGTCTCGGCCTACGGCTCGGGCGAGATGACGGAGTCCGACGATGAGGATTACTATAAAAACTACCCCCTTGTCACTGACCGGACCGTACTCCCCCCTCCCCCCGCGGCCGGGAACCCCCGAGGTGACCGGCCATTCGCCCGTTTGCCCAACTCCCATCGGCCGCCACTCCCATTCACCCCCACGGCCCCCCCAGTGCCCCGACTCAAACCTGGCATCAACAGTGGCCCCAAAATCCCTGCGGGTAAAATGAACACCCGTGACCAGGTGCTGCTGCCACCCGTACAGCCGTCGGGCGACCCTGAACACGGCGGGCGGCATCGACACATCCCAGGTATAACATATCCTCCCAATTTCCCCCATGTGCCCACTACAGACCCCTCATCACCAGACCGAGGGCCTCCAGGAGCGGTGGAGGTGATCCGAGAGTCCAGTAGCACGACAGGCATGGTGGTGGGCATCGTGGCCGCGGCCGCTCTCTGCATCCTCATCCTGCTCTATGCTATGTACAAGTACCGCAACCGCGATGAAGGCTCCTACCAGGTGGACCAGAGCCGCAATTACATTAGCAATTCAGCCACGCAAAGCAACGGCACCCTAGTGAAGGAGAAGCAGCCTGGCGCAACCAAGACGGGCACAAAGAGCAAGAAGAACAAAGACAAGGAGTATTATGTCTGAGCTCGGCCTCCGGAGGGACCGATGCGGAAGCGAGGGGGAGAAGGAGAGAGATAGGATGAGGAATGGAAAGGGAGGTCCAGGTATTTGTTGGCAGTTTACCGGTCACACTTAGAGTTCTGACATCAGTCTTCTTTAATTTCCTGTCTTGTCTAGCGGTTGGCCTCATTTCTAGCAAGACCTAAAGAGTTCAAAAGCATCTAGGGTTTGGAAACATCCCCGCCCTCATTTCCATTTTTGATAGCCAATCCCTATTACAAAAAGAAACTCTCCAAAACTTTTGTATTGAAGAAAAGTGGATTTTTCCTCACATGTAATTGTACGCTCAAGTTTGGTCTTTGTAAATACTATGTGAGTCCTCAATATTCAGATCATCTCCTAACCTGATGTCGAAACCCCCGTGTATGCCAGGGTGCTTGTGCGATCCATTGTTGCTCCATCAGAGCATTGGATGTGGTTGAGAATCGTTTGGGAACGAGAGCAGTTCAGTTGGAACGGCTTGGCATAGGTGACATTTCAGGAACAGATGGTGCCGAAAACGTTTAGCAGTCACACTCCTCCGTAATACTGCCAAACCAGCTCTGTGTCAAATCCGTCTCCCTCTCTTTCCAAGTGCTTCACATTTCCATCCTCCGCTCCCATCATCCCTCTCGTTCTCTCTTTCCCCGCACCCTTTCTTGGTTTGGTCTCTTTTTCTCCTTGTCCTTGGTGCTCAGGAGCAGATGCAACGTGATTCTGTTGTGTTTCCAGCATGAAAAGAGACAAAAACTGTTTCTATGGAGTCAAATAAATATATAGCTATATCTCAAACCGTTACAACTAGCGAAACATCTGTGGATGATCCCTTCAGCCGCCTGAACTCCCGGAGGCCCACAGTAACCCCACGTTCCAGCAAATATTCGTCATGTGTTTTTGGGGTTCCACTGGGCTGTCCTGGACCTGCTGAGGATCTTGGTTTCTGCTCCACATTCAAGAACCTGAAACCCCCAACAGCAAATAGATAATATTCATATACAGATATTTGAAAAGACAAAGGGACACAAGCGTCTGGAAGTCAAGACCAACATCACGTCAACAAACCATATCAGTGGAAACAGCAGAGCAGGATGCTAGGATGTCTTTTGTTTTGTTTTCTATGTATGTGTGCGTGCTTTCTTTTATATTTTGTCACGTCAAAGGGAAAAGACAATAATGTTCCAGTTAATGTACATTCCACGTAGGGAACGTGAACTCTCCTGCGTTTTTGACCACGTTCTCTCAGGAGGAAAGTAGGGATAAACTCTGCACATTTAATGGAACGGACTCTCTTGAAAGAAAGACGAAATGGCCTGTTACTTTGAAGATGTACATCTTGAACTCTAGTATTCTAATTTTCTCAACTCTATTAAAAGAACTAAACTCTGCATTGAAAAGAAAATGTTTAAAACCGTTTGTGAAATGTCTAAATATTTGAATCTCACCCCAGTGCTAAAAGAGATGTTTTTCCTAATTATCATCCCTAAGAAAAAGAAAGCAAGTGCAATGAAATGCAAAGATCAGTGAATCGGATTCCAGAAAGCAGATGCTCTTTTGAATATTAAACAGCAAAATGTGATTTGGTTTACAAGAGAACATTTCCTTTACCAGGCGGGAGAGTATCTCCTTGTATCCAGAAGACTTTGATCATTGACGCCATCCTCCGTTTAACATGTTGCTCGCTTTACCCAGCGTGTGGAGGGCTGTTCATTCTCCATACTCACTCAACGAGGACCAGACTTCATCATCATTTGATTTCACTCTTCCATCTCTGTGTTTGCGTGAGCGTTTGTGCGCTTGTTTGTCTGTGTGAATGTGTTTCCATTATTTCCATTCCTGTTCAGGTTTGTCGGTTGCGTTTCTCCTCAGCTCCCTTGTTCTTTCTAAATGTTATTGTAGAGTGTTCCAGTGAGATGAATCTGCATACGTGTATATTAACATAAGGGAATACAATTGGTTATATACTTCTTACACCCCGTGTCATGTGCTTATTTCAGATTCACACTTTTCTTCCAGAATAATCTTCCTCACTTCAGCTCGACACAAACACTTTGAGAGTGTAAACTGGAGTGTATTTGTGGTACAGTGTAACTCTGGACTTGTAAAAACACGTTTATATGAGTGCCGGTAAGTCTTTGATTCTCATAATGCTACATGGTTTCTTATTCAACATTTAAAATAAAGCTGAAAACATTGTAATGATCAGAAAATGAAACCTTTGTTATCTTGAATTGGAGTCCTGATATGATTCCAATATCAGACTAAGACTGACGTTGATACATAGTAATAAAAAAAAAAAGTACAGTAAAATTGGCAGATATAAATATGGTTAATTTATATTTTATTATAATGTATTATTCCTTATAATTTTTATTGGTATGTCAATTCATTAATTATAGATGCCAATTAATATTAGTTTTATTTCCTATCACTTATCATTAATCACTATACTACGGTCCACAGTGAATCGTCGGAGGGGCGCTCGTCCTGTCCTGCTGCGATAGGCCTGGTTCTCATTGTTGGTCAGCATTCAAACACAGACTCACCTCTCTGGCCACTGAATCACATGCTATGACTGTCAGTTCAGACAGTCACAAACAGTTCAACTTTTACAGCGTGATTTACATTGTATGGAAGCCCTGAACAGCAATGTGGAGAAAAAAAAAGTTAAGGTGGAAGAAAATCGTCTTGGATCCTTCCTGAGCCCGTCTTCCGAATTTGTTTTCTCTCTCTCTGAATGCTTTTTCTCTCTCTAAAAAGATTTTTCTCATTCCAGTTTTTTTTTTTTTTCGGCAAAAATAATTTTCTCTCCAAAAAAAATTACTTTTTTCTCTCTTCAATTTTTTTCCTCAATAGGCAACACAAAAGATGTAAACAAATGAAAGTCCTGAACCGAAACATGAAAAAAGATTTTGAGAAAAAAATTATTTTGGAGCAAGACGAACGTTTTTGGTTTTGGGGGAGAAAAAATTTCAGACCAAAAGAAAAAAAAACGTAGGACTATGGTTCGGGAAGGACCTGAGGTGACACTGGTGTTATTTTTTATGTTCTGCTCCTTGACTTCTTTTTTCACATTGTGGTTCAGGGCTTCCACAGTATTGTGTTTGTTTTGTGCTTCGTCTAGCTGTTGTTGAACGTGTCGTGCCATAAAACATTTTTCTCTCCAATTTTTTTCTCTTTAAAACATGTTCTCTCTCTCTCTCTCTGGATTGTTTTGTCTTCAAAAAACTTTTTCTCTCTCTGTATCACTCTCTCTAATTTATTTTTTCTTTCACATAAAACATTTTTCTCTCTACAATTTTTTTTCTTTCTAGCATTTTCTTTCTGATTTTTTTTTCTCTTCAAAAACTTTCTCTCAGATTTTTTCTCTTCAAAAAAAAAAATGTGAAATTGAAACTGAAATTTTATCTTTCAAAAACTTTTCTCTTTCCATTTTTTTCTCTGCCAAACATTTTTCTGTCTCTCCAATTGTTTTTTTCTTTCAGAATGTTTTTCTGTCTCAAAGACATTTCTTTCACTCCGATTTTTTTTCTTGCTCCAAATTTTTATTTTTCCTCTACCAAAACAATTTTTCCTTTCTCTCCAAAAAAACTTGGCCAAGTAATGATGGGCAAAGAGTCTAGTGTCTGGTGCGTTTAGTTACAGTGACAGTGAATGATATATGTAACCTGAGTTTGTCTTCATTTTTATTTGCCAAACATTCTCCTAAATGTAATATTCAGATCATCAAAGAAAGTAGTGTAAGCAGTTGCTTTAATGCTTAATGATTGCGGCACCTGGTGTCTGAGGTTGGTACTGCACGCGAGAAAAAAATAGGAGACAAAAAATGGTGAGCAAGAAAAAAGTTTTTTGGTAGAGATAAAAATTGGAGAAAGAAAAACGTTTTTTAGAGACAAACATTTGGTAGGTTTCAGAGTAGGTGTGGGGACAAAAAAATGGTGAGCAAGAAAAAAGTTTTTTGGTAGAGATAAAAATTGGAGAAAGAAAAACGTTTTTTAGAGACAAACATTTGGTAGGTTTCAGAGTAGGTGTGGGGTTAGGATTAGGTATAGCGACTTCAATAAGGGGGTAATAATTTGGTCGAAATTGGGAGCGCAACACTGGCATCTACAGCTACTAAAATACAATGAAATATGTGTTGCATGCACACAAAATAAATTGTCAGCCATAAATTCAGAAGTGTTTTCACCTGCTGTTAAACATGAGTGATAAATAACCAATGCAAAAAAAAACAAAACAATCATTTCAGGACAAACGATGTGAGGATTGAAGATGTGAAAGATGGGAAGCACTGAAAAGTGCAGATGTGTTTCAGAACAAACACACATGACTCTCCTCCAGTTTCCATAGAAACAGGCTTCTGTCCTTTGTGTGTGTGTGTTTGGGGTTTAACTGGTTCTCCAGTGATTTCTGCAAACAGACAGAAAAATAAAACAGACAGCTGAAACTGAAGATGAAAACAAGAACAATTGCCAGTGTTTGCCTTCTGACCGATGATTTATTCAATAATCGGGAGATTTAAGACCATTTATTTAATAAATATCACAATCCATAACGCTTGTAGTCCTGCAAACCACAGTTTGTCCCTGATATTTCCAAGTTTTCATGAACACTGTCTACTAGCAAACACATCTTCAACACAGAATGCTTTACAACAATAACAGCCTTACTGACACACACACGAGAATCACACAGAAACACACGCTCCATTCACTCAAACAGCTCATCTACAGAATACAAAATAAACTGTTTTGTGTTCAATAAGAAATAATTATGGCACAGAAATAATCATTTACTTTTGTGCATGTGGCAGACCGTTTTATCCAAAATGATTAAAGGGGTCATATGATGTTGCTAAAAATAACATTATTTTGTGTATTTGGTGTAATGAAATGTGTTTAGGAAATGTTACGCCCCTCACCATACTGTGATACTCTGTCAGGCCAGAGCGACGAGCGAAAACCCATTATAAACGAGGCATTTGTTGCATCCAGTGGGGAC